TTAAGCTATAAGTATATAATCCACAATAAAATTCTAAGCAATATTACATTAATTTTAATTTAACATGATATATTTTTTTTTTAATTTTCAGAACAAAAAAAAAAAATAAGCAACTTAACTTGTAACTTAAAAATTATTATTTGTAAATTGATATAAATACAATGTGCTTTAACTTATTTATAATAATATTATTAATTTTACAAAAATGTAACTTGACTATATTTTAAGCTTACACTCATAGTATATACAATATTATTGTATTATTAAGTTAAATTTTACATTAAAATTTCAAATAATTTAATTAATTTAATGCATATAATACGATAGTTACAATAGTCATATAACTTCAGACAAATCTCTAAAGATTTTTCTTTTGCCTGATAAAAAATAATAAATTACATTTTTTAAAACGCTAATTAACAAAACTTGATTTTTATTTGATAGATCGATTTACTTAGAACTTTTAAAACATCCATTTGAGCTACTTAAAACTTTTAAAACATCCATTCTGTCAATGAAAGTTTTCCAAAAAAATATAAAGTATATAAATAATGTAAAATCTGCAGTTATATAAAAAATATTTATAAATTTAATACCGTTTTTGTTTTAGGTACATCCATATTTAAATTTCATCATAGTAATATTAGGTAAGTTAATTAACTCTTTACTATTATATGCAAGTAACATGAATATAATTGATTATTATGATTTATAAACTAGCGAACATGGCTTTTCTCTCATAACAATTAAAAGTTGGATTATCTTAAGTTCACAAACTCAGAAGTTAATCATTCACTAACTCCTGTTGTACTTCTACCTAGGCTGTTGCTGATTGTATTACAACTGAACATAATAGAAGATAAACCAAATTAAACGAAACTTACAAAGTTATGCTACGATTTGATTGATTACAGTTAATTTTATAAGTAAAATTAAGACAATATATTAAACAAGTTAGTCTCATACTATAACAAGTGTTTTTAAATTTATTTTCTTAAGACTAGTGTTTGAAACTAATACTTTTTGATATAAACAATATTAATTATTTTATAATAATCCTAAAAGATTAGTTCATCTTTTCATCGTTGTACTTAAAACCAATTATTAATTTCTGATTTATTTCCTTTTATATTTTCAAACATGAAGTGAAAAATATATTTTAACACTTTAAAAATACATCATCTTAATAATCTTATATTTCAAAAATAATTGACTACATAACCCTAATATTTATATTTTGAAGAGTAGAATATAATCAAAAGGCTTTTTCCGGGCTAAAATGTTTCCCTACCACTCTATATTCACTTTACTTGTATAACTATTGAGCAATTAATTTTTCGGATAAATTATTAATATTAACTAATATTTTTACTGTTTCATTTTGTATTTAAATAATTATTAATTATATATATATAACCCTTGAATATAAATTAAAAAGTCGATCAATATTAAGTAAAATAATAAGTTACGAATATTACAGTATGGTTATTACTTAGTGTACCTACTGAATTCAATTTATATAAGATATTTTCAGATGAAGCTCATTAAATTTTAAATCCTTCATAAGTTAAGTCTATGACCTGTAATGCAGACAATAAAGTAGAGAATATTTTTTTATTTTTTTTATCACGCCATGAGAAACGTCGGCTGTCGAGTTTATACACGTGCATAGTCGAAAGTTTTGATGTAGGTTTAGCCAAGGACATTTTTATGTGAACGATAAAAGGGGAGGGTAAAAGAGAAGACATGGTAGTTCTAGTAGAAGGTTTGGCATTGCGACGTGGTACATTTCTCCACATTAAACATTCACCTCCCGAGTAGTAGGTACTTTTTTTGTAAACTCGTCGTTCTCGAGCACGTGTTGTCGCCCTTCATGAAATAACAAAAATGAACGGCTCCATGATACACTTCTCTTTCAGTTGCTAGAAAGAAAAGCGGTAGGGTGAAAAAATAAAATAGAAATCGCATAAAATATTCAAAACAGTTTTGACAGTGTTTTACCACGGATTTTCCAATCCACGTTTCATTGCATAATTTAGCAACATGAGATGGGTACTGAACACACTTCACTGTACCCCACTTGTTCATTGAGGTAGTGCATTGCTTGTATACATGAGAAGCAATTTATATTTCTGGTCGAGATAAGGTTTAAAAACATATATTTTCATTCGAATTTTTAAACAAAATTTGCTAGTGAGATTCGACCAAAAAAGCATTTAGTCGCACTAGTCTTATAATATCGCATATTAATTAATAAACAAACATACGTATACCATTATTTTAATTTATTATTGGAAAACATGAAAATAATAATAATTGATATTTAAACTAATTTAATAGATGTTGTCGTTTTAATTATAAATATAGAATAAGGAAATTTTATATTTCATAATATAAATACTAATAATTTAGATTGATTTCAGTGCACTTTATGGCATTCATTTTTTTAAACTTCCAGTAAATTATAAGAACAAAAGAAAATTAAAAATATTTATGAGCACTCTCATAAAATAAAATTGATAAATTGTTAGAAATTAAAAAGATAACAATCCTATAGTCTTTAAGTTGAAATAAGTACTGTTTATTAATCAGAAATAAATTTAAAATTACAAAGACGTACCTAACAAATAACAATATATTTTCATGTTAAACTCTATAAGAAAATTTAAGTTTAAAAGCATTCTATTATGTGCTTACCCTATTATATTAAAATAGTCTCCATTCGAAACGTTTTTTAATGTGATTATTCATTAATTTGTTTTATATAAAAATATAAAACAAAATACATGACTATACAGTCTTATGCTAAGTGAAATGAAATAAATTAGAAACATTCGATCCCGTACCCTATTGGCATTTTAATTATTGTATGTTGTACTCAGTGCATAATGTAATTAAATGAATGAGCTTGATAATATATATATACTAGTTTACTTAATCGTATTGTTTAATATGATTGTACACTATATATTAATTACTTGTTGTAATGTGTTTGTAGTTGAACTTGGAGTCTTTAGTAGGCTTTAAAAATATAAGCCTACAGAATAATTTATAAAAATTTATAGCCAAATTTTAAATTTTATTAGAATATAGTAAACATATAAAATACTGAATTAATTTTATAAACATCTATAATGTATTCAACTCTTGAAATAACATAATAACATACAGAATTTAATCATATATAATGTTGGTATTTTAACTTGCTTTCATCTAAATTTGATTTGTACGAGAATGAAATGTTATTTTTAATCATACGTTTCTGCAAGTCCAGTGAGAGTACTTTTTTATTTAGGCTTGTCAGACTGCGATGTGGAAAGAGGGGGGAGTCGGTTTTATTTTTCTTTCTGTCCCAGCAGCAGTAAATAATACGGTATTCTCAGCAATTTGACAACAGACCCTCTTAAAGAGCTTCACTATAAAAGGCCATAAAACCAAAATAAAAATGTCCTATATATCGTATTCTTAATAGCCACTTAAGTTTACACTAGGGTAATAACTTTGACTTTTTGTTTTCAAGATTAAATGATGTTTATAGAACACGCTAAATAATAACGGATAGGTAGTGAATATTATTAGTGACTTCAAAACTGCACCTTGAGTACCTCTTTTGAGCACTACTAAGGTATTTATATATTCTCTATATGTTTCTGTATTTCTCTGATTAACACACTGTTGAAAAATCATACTTGATTAATATCTGAATTTTAGAGTATATTTTAATAAATTTACAAAAGTTTAATTAGGTTAATGTTAGTACTTTAATAGATACATACACTAAAAACTATTTGATGTAATACATAACTTCAGTGCACACCAATTACCAGGAGACAAGAATTTGAAATAAAATTTAACATTTATTCAATATTTTCGAAGTATTTATGTCCAAAGCAGAAAACCTACTAGGCAAAATACACACAAATCCATAAACTAATGAAAACAAATTTCAAATATTAATCTAAACGTGTTAAAATAGAATTAATATAATATAGTGCTTTAAAAATTTTATATTTTTATAATAAGCAATGACTATAGTTACCGAGGTATTTTCTAGACATTTTTTTTATTAAATATTTCATCAGAAATTTAATATATATATAATTGAAGCCAATTTAATAAATTACTTGTTTTCAAACTAGTAAAAAGTAATAAATGTACGAGATAAAAAGAAACTTAAGTGGATTTCAAACAGAAAATTTTTCCTATTAAAAAGATCTATTTACATTTCAACATACTAATCGATCGAATTATGCAATACAAATTTTAAAAACGTGTTTAGGTTTTTCGTTTTGTACTCTTTTAATCTTTCGAACAACTTTCAACAAGATTTAACTTATATTTATCAAACTATCGAAGTTTAAATAAGCTTTGTTTCACTGATAACATTTATACGTACTTAAGTCTCGTAGGTCGAAATTAAATATACTCAAATATCAAGAAACAGCCTATTAAATTATTAGATATCCAATAATGACTCAGTTTTTTTGTAATTGTGTAGTAAGAATCTTATTTTTTGTAATAAATACTTGGTAACATTTGGTTAAACGTCTAAAATTAAAATCTAACTAACTATTTAACGCGCGCTTTAATGCTGAAATTAAAACGCAATATTTAACTCATATACAAGACATTTCAAGAAAATAAAATACAATTAGCAATATTTAAATATATTTATATTAAGTCTTGGTCAATTATTCCAATATCATATTTTAAGTTTATATAATACATTTTTTTTTAATCAATACAATCTAGTAATTACTTTTCACTTACTTTAAGGTTAACAAAATCATAATAACAACATGTTATTTATCTTAAATATTATGATTAATGTTAATATTGTTTTCCTATTAATATAAAATATACATAATACATATATAATATTAATCATTTAAATATATACATTTTAAAATATTTAATTAAAATAAGAATAATACTAAATTTAAATAACAAGTATGTCTAACAATATATATTATATTATCCATAGGTAATAATTTATAAAAAAAAATTGAAAAAGTCAGTCCAGTTATTCACAAAAACTCACCTTAATTCAATTTATTTTTTAAAAAAAGCTACGTATATTAACATAATATAATTTATCGGTGTAGTTCTTTCGTTGACTTATTAGCCAACAATAATTGTAGATAATTATCACAGAAGTATGTAAAATGAATAAAAATATGTTTTTAAAATACTTATAAAACGTAATAAAAAGTTTAGGAAGACAAATGAATAAACAATAATTAACCGTCTAATATGCACTATGAAGGTATTATTCTTTCTCGGATGGTAAACTTTGTACATTACTACTTATTGTATCGATATATTTTTTTTGTGAATTATTTGATGAGCTAAAATAAAACATGAATACATAAATATGATAAAATATCTCAAAAAATTACAAAATACTACTTATTAATTTTTTTTTTTTTTTTTTAGCTTACCTAATACAATCTTCTACTTCTTCTAATGTATCAGAAAGATAATTGCCTGTTTCTGGTAACATAAGCACAGACAATCCACCAATGACGCTGACTGTTCCCAATACTAATAATGGTAAAACTTTTCCGAACGAAGACTGTAATGGATGGTAAATCAAATAATTATACGATAATATATTAAGAAAAATATTTACTAGACTTACTAAATTCCAAAGGTAAGGCACCATAATAAGAGCAATTCCAGCTGGTATATTTGAAGTTCCTACGCCTAAATTTCTTATAACAGTTGGAAACAATTCAGCTGTGTAGAGAGGCATAATAACGTTTGATGATGATACGGAAAATTTTCCAGCCATCACCAATGATAGCGATATCAACTCATCCGTATCTAGTTATCATAATAAAATATTTTAAGAATATGTGTATCAAATATAATTTAGAAAAATAAATATAAATACCAGGTGGTAGAATCGTAGTTAACAAACACGCAATTCCTCCGGCTACCATGGTAAGGCACAATGGAATCCTTCGACCCATTTTAAGCAATATTACCACACTAATCAATATTGATGGAATTTCGACCAAACCTAAATTCAAATTCAATATTGAACAATAATATAAGAATAATATCTTTAAACATAACTATTTTATTTCGTTCGAATTCGTTATCAAATATTTAAATAAGTATATACTTTATTACTTTATTAACGGAATTGCTTATATAAATTATAATTCATAAATATATTTAGATGAATAACTTGTTATTTTTAAATTTAAAAGATAAAAAAAAAAAAAATATTATTTTATCATGAAAATTACCTGAGACTATAGTATTTACGTATATATTTCCTCCAATATTAGACAGATTAAGTACAAGACCGTAGTATACTAAGTAAAGACTGAACCAAAGTATGTATAAAACAAGTGAAATTTTTCTAATATTTTTGGAACGAAATAAATCTGAAACTCGTACTTTAGGTTTACCATTAATTTCGAATTTGTTGATACTCTGAAACAAAGTAAACAAATAATTATAGAAACAATATATTTAACAAATATAAGCTAACTATATTTATAGTAAACGAACAATTTTAAAATAAAAATTAGTAATTTTTAAACCTATATTATTTATTTTTAACTAATCAATTACAAATACTAATAATAAATGAATCAAAGAACTTGAGTTTGGCCTCCAAATTACACACCGATTCTTTAAAAATCCCATGAAGTCATAAATATACCACCTATATTATTAAGATGACCTGTTTCAAGATAATCACATTACTCATGACATAAAATTTGAACAATTTTACTGTGACCAAGACAAGTACTAATAACATAAACATTAAATACGGTGTAAACATTTCACACTTCTACTAAACATAATATTACATATACTCGTAAAATATACATGCAATTAAAGTACATAGTATTTAACTTATGAATTCCACCCCGAAAAATGAAACAAGGAGTTGAAATGTAGTTTTAATTTTTACTTACTTGTTTAAGAATTTTATCCATATTCGCTGGTAAGGGGTGTTTATTGATTTTAGAGGCCTTTTGCAAAACTTCCATGGTCTCTTCTACTTTGCCCATGGCTAATAACCATCTCGGTGATTCGGGAACGAACCTAATAATCAGTAAGAATAAAAAATGTTTTCGTCATATTTCTATCTAATATCTTACCAATGCAAAACCAAGAAAAATACAGCGGGTAACGTAACACACCACTGCAGTAACCTCCATCCTCTGCATATGTATGCAATTCCGGAAATTATAATATAGCTCATCGGAACTGGGAGCAAATAAAGAACTCCAGCAATTGTCAACCATTTACCACCGACCAATTCCATGCCTATAATTAATAAAAACCATGATCAAGACAACATCATTAAACAATACTATGTGTGAAATACTTACACAACACAAAACCACTAAAGACGATGCTCACACAAACAAATCCCAAAATAAATCTCAGTACCAAATAAAATTCGAACCAAGGACAAATAGCTACTAAAATACCAAGAGCCAACTGCATAATCAAAGAAGCCATCAATGTCTTCTTTCTACCAAATCTATAAGTATAAAATAATATTAATTAATCATTATACAAATGAATCATGCAATTTTTTTAAAATTAAATTCAATTATTTTAAACCAATTTATCAGTTTACCACAATATTCTTTCAATAAATGATCCCCTTTAAATCTTTTAAGAGAGGAAATAAACATGTATATAATGAATTTACCAGAAATCTAATTTATATTTTCAACAATTACGAGTATTAACAATAATTCCTACGTACTCGGATATACGTGATGTTTAAACGAATTTTACAAACTCCGGAACAGATAATAAAGATATTAAATTATATAATGGTTGAAAAGAAAAGGAAATGAAAAAAAAAAAATAGAGAAAATGATAGAATGTTTTGAACTTTTCTTTATTATGTTGGTCATTTCTATTTATTTATATCGTTATGTATGTAGGTAGATAGGTATACGCTAGTAAACTGTTAATATCTACAATAGCGCATTATATTTTACCTTTAATTAAATAATAATATTACTACAGTATAAACAAACATTAAATGAACGAATTAAACAAAATTTTATTACACTACACATTTCGCATAATCAAGCTTTATATTATAAACAGTATAGATATAGACTTTATAATATATACATATTTTAGCAAACTTCATTACCAGTGTTTAATAATAAGATTTTACTGTTTGTCAAATAATTTTCGTAATCTGTTTAAAAGTGTATACCTTTTTGTAAAAAGATTATCATATTATGAATATTTATTCGCTTGTTAATGTTTTAAAGTTGTCAAAATTTGACTTACCTGTCAGACACGAGTCCGGAGAAGAAACCTCCAAAAGCAACACCCATCAAGAACATCATCTCAGCAAAGTTTTTTAATTCTTTTCGGTCACAAACTAAGTTCCACTGTAAATCCGAATATCAAATAAATTAAAAATTTTCATTTATTTTTTAATTATAAAAAAAATTACTTCAGAAGTGATTGTATCGCCGAATTCAGTAGTATTGAACTGCCACGAAGAACATGCTTTCATCTCATATTGTTCTGGTTTTATTTGAAGTAATTCTTTAAAAGTATAATTACTAGGTAAACTGCCATAATTTATATCACGATAATGACAAGGATCGTATACTGAAACCTATGTATAAAATAAAAATATGTTTAGTAATCTTTAAACTAATAAAAACATTTTATCAAAGTTCACCTTCACATATAATATTATTTTAGGTAGCTTATATTATTTATAATTAAAATATTAATCTCAATAATTAAAAAAAAAAAAAACTTTTTTTCACTATTTTAAATTATCTAATAACTGAAAACAATATTGACAAATAAAATAACAACACATTTATTGGTCATAAAATTGACACCTTGTATGGGATTTTTTATTATAATCACTTTATGTATTTTATGATTTTATTTCAATGACCATCACAGTCAAGGATCTTAAAACTATAAACATTACTATTTCAACTTTCTCGCTAAAATAAAATAGTATCAACTAAAGCTCAATATTAAACTTTTCGAAAACTAAATGTGTAATTTTATCAAAAAAATATTTATTATTTTAAATTTTAAAGTGATACACTATTTACATTTGTTTTTCTATAAACATTGTATCATTTTTCACTGTATTACGTTATTATTAGAAAAATAAATTTAAAAAAATGAGTTTAATTTAGAAATTGATAGTTTCAAAATTATAATTTTCTTGATTTTAAAATTTTTTATAACTCACATTGGTTGTCAGTGATTCTGAAATGACACTACTTAAATTTTTCCATTGATCTACGGAAATCCGGTTCAGTACACCCGACGGCGGTGTACACCAGAAGTCCGTTTCTGCCCCCTGGAATGTTAATACGAATATGTGCCACGTACAAGGCAAATTTAACAAGGACAAAATTAATGTAAGCACAGCTTGCCATCGGCCAAATTCGCCGATGGCCATAGAAACTGGGTCTTCATGTGTCTTCTCCGTTCGTTTGTCATCTTTAAAAACACCAACATTACCTGAAAAATAACAAATAAATATAAATTTATAATTTAAGAACACGAATATTTAAGTATTTTATTTTTCTTAAACTATGTTTTAATGTTTTCAATAAATATTATTTTTTTCTATTATAACTTCTATAATATTCAAATAAATTCCAAGAACCTACAATCGGATACCAAAACATAAAAGAAGCGGGTTCCAAAAAGAATATAAAACATTATATTATTTTTCAACTAGAGTTTAAAATGAATAGCATAATATAATGAATCATATTCCATTCAAAATACCAAAGTTGATAATTGAATAATTCGTGACTTAAAACTAGTACATTTTCATTCGACTTTGAATGTGGTTATTCATTTAAAACTCTAAAGCTCTAAAACTGTACGTTGTGTTTGGAAAAAAATTCAATGGTAATAAATAATAATATTAGTGTAGCTTGCCACATCGAATAACAAACGATCTGGATTATAATATAATACAATATATCATGTATATGTTTTTACGTTACTTCGATCGCATTTCCAACCGCATTTATTAATTAACAACCGGAAACTATATCATTATTAATGGTCCTTGAACGGTATAGGATTGCCACCGAGTGTGCGAGTGGAAAATCGTTATACATTGACAATCGAGAGAGGGGGCCTTCGGCGAATGCATAGCCATAGGAAACGGAACGTATTGCGAACTTACTTCCGCTGACAATGTGGTATACGGTTAATGGTTAGAACTCGTTGTGCGCGCAGCGGCCACTGGCCAGACAGTGTAGTTATAAAATATTACAAAAAATCATAATCCGTCACCCGTAACAATAGAAGTATGAAAATAATATGTTATAACTGCTGCAGGTGACTCCTCTAATCTCATAGCAGTATTAAAATTCGATTGAACAGTAAAAAGAGTGTCTGCCACAGAAAAACGATAAACCTATATTTTATTCGTTAAGTCACCCATAGAGTGAAGAGTATAGCGGGGTGGGGTTGAACTGTGATTATTGGACACTCGGCCTGTCATTGTCTTGGCGAATCGTGAATGGATAAACGATTCTCCAGAGAAAGGCTCGTTGACGCGGCGTTGTATGTTTATCGTAATATAGTATTATATTTATATATTATATATACATAATATACATATTATAATAGTTGTGCACATTATTATCGCCATGCCAAGGATGTTGGCCAACGGTCGTAGGTATATTATGGCGAACATTATATACCCATACGTCGGATCTATCGAAGTACGCGGGTATATCGTGCATGCTGCATACGTAATATTATTATAAATTGATTACATCTCTGTCGACCTCCATATATTGCGTTCGAATGCTAAACCCATCAAACAAATCCGTTTACCGACGCGTACATCGCTAAATAGATGCAGGCCACGACAATCCGTCTGTGCTGTGATTCCTGCGTACAGGTAGGTAGGTACACTGTACAGGTACACAATATAATATATGCGCTGGTGGTGCTCAGACGCGAATGAAAATTATAAAAATTATCACGCTCGTATCCCGGTTGGTAATATATAATAATATATTATTGTGTTATATTGATAATAATAATAATATACCGACAGAGTTTTCGTACACAATATTGGTGTACCTACCTATTGATTTGATGTTCATTGCGGTGGTCACACAGGTGCCTATTTATGATATCGACGTAGTCGATTGTTTACCAAATTTAAATACGATAAATATGTTTAAAGTTGATGATGTACCTTAACGTAGGTAACCATTGCTTTTGCTAATAGTTCATCCAAGTATCAATCGTTTTTTTCATAAAGTTATTTTATAATTTAAATCAAATATGAAATAGTGTTATATAAATGAATAATCGTCGATTATTTATTTATTTTTACTTGTAGCTATAGATTTAAAGAAAATGTAATAAGTCAGTGCGAGTTTAAATTAAGAAGTCAGTTGAAACAAATAAACTTTAAAAAGATAATAGTTTTAAATAATAACTGTAATATGAGACGTGTTTGGGTGCTTAAGCATAGATATACTATGCAAGTCTACTCCAATTTCAGACAAATATAAAAATTAATTGATCCAATCTTAAGACAATTTTAAATTTTGTGTCAAAAATATCAAGCGTAATCTAAAAACACGCAGTTTATAAATAATTTTTGTAAATACTAAAAATATGCCAACGTATAAATTTAGCAATACTACAGATAACGTCTTATCTATAACGTAATGAGCGCATTTTTTATGTATAATCGGCGTAAACAATACCACTAGTTTGGTGATTTTTCGTGTTATTACGTAGTAAAAATTGTCTAAAAGTAAGTAATTATCTAAAGGTAATAGATACGTGCACCAACAAGGTAATCTATTTAACGTATCAGGTAAGTTAACTCAATTTCTCAGTAAATTATCATGTAATTTTTTTTTTTTTTTTTTAATATAATTTTAAATATAGGTACATATTATAATATTATACTATACACAATGGCACATTTTTAAAACAATAAAATGTAGTTATTTTTCAACCTATTAAAGTCATTAAGAAATATTACCATTTGGGGCCCCCTATATGAGCTACAGTTGATCGCTGAAGCGTATATCTGTTAAAAATTGTGAAAACATCACAAAGCGGCTGAAACTACCCAAGCACAATAAAATTCTAAAACAAAATATATCATCAAAAAAATAAAGAAGATATAATTATATAATAAGTATATTATGAATTATGGTCTTATATGTACATTTTTTATCCAATTACATATCATACAATTTCGTTACTTTAATTATGACGCGGACAATCATCCATAACTGTATATTTCTAAAAATAATTGGAAATTCCGTTGCAAAATCTGTTCAGAGTCATGGCCGTTCATTTTAGTGTACAGAATTTGTAGGGAAGTATAATATTTTTTATCTATATCTCGGAAATTCTAAATTACCATAATATTAGATAATCAAATTACATATAATTAAATGATTTTAATAAAAATAAAAGTTTAACCTATTTTAACTTAACCAAATATTAATAACCAGATTATATTAGTAGATAACCTTGACCCTTCACAGTGTTCTTTCAACAGTTTTGAATATAAATTTAATTCTTATAATTTTAGAATTAAATGCAAATTAATATTATGAAATAAATATATCACGCCCGAAACATTTAAATTAAGAATATTCTTTGTTCTTTACTTTTGCAATATTTATTATACAATTTATTTAAAAATTTAAATATAACTATTACTCACATACAAATTAAATACCAAGAATAGGTAATCATTTTATGGTTTAAATTTAATTTTACTATTATTATTCTTTTATTGAAATTTTAACTATAAAATTATTATACATCCTCAATTAACATAAAATTTATAATTTTTGATCTATAATTATTAGAATTTAATAAATACGCGTGTCTTCGAAATTATAATTATGCTTAATTATCAGTTAAAATATATAAATCGTGACTTCCTATGTTAAGTACCATAAGTTATGAATAGATTGAATTGTAAAATTATATTTTTATCTAAATATCTTGTTGTGGCTAAATTAAATCTTTTAATAAATAAAAATAATATATATAAGATTAACTATAAATTCCCTAAAGAGCAATTTTCCATCTATTAATTCTTTAATGATTTTAATTTTTAAATTTATGGTTTTCTAACAAAATATCTTCTTTGTCATTGAATTGCTTAATTAAATAACATTTGTTATTTTAATACTGAATACTACAATGTTTTGATGTACGTATCCTAAATTATAATTGTTTAAGATGTTTTTATTTGTGTGTAGTTACTTAGCTACCCATAAAAAGTAAAATTAACATTATTTTTAAACAAACATACAAACTAGTGATATTATTTTAAAACATATAAATGAAATCGTCCTTTTATATTTTATATTGAAATACGATGTATAGAATGAAGAATTTATAAGCATATCTAAACAAATAAAATAAATATTTTTCAACAAAATTCCGTTTGAATATAACATTGAAATAAGAAACCGACGGTGACGTCTCTTTGAGTTTGTTTAGGGTTTTACTTTCGTTTGTACAGAGGTGAGAAAATTTATCTTATCAACAAGGCTTACCACAAAAATAAATTCATACGAATACCTACTCATATAAGAGCTTTTGATACCATCTGAATGCATCTCCTGAGTATTATGCCAAATTGTCAACATAACTTTCCGACACGCTTTTAATTGTTTATAATATTATCTGTTCAAGTTGTTTTTCACTACACTATAACCCTAACTGTTCATAGTTTTGACGTTTTATAAGTTTGGCATGCATACAATATATATATATACAGATTTTATTATTGTGTTGCCCGTAAACGTAACCCGTAACATAGGTTTTTTCGATTTACTAATGCCAATACAAAACTATTAAATCGTCGCATGGAAGTACAAAAAAAAAAGTCCAATAGAACACCGTTTTGTTATTATCCTCTATTGACGTTAACTGTTATATCCGTAGTTTAAAAGATGTTAAACGACGAAACCTGAATGAACAACTCCGGATTTCAATTGGCAGTAGAAATTAAAATATATTAATATATATGTACAGTGTTCATATTGTATACAATAAATTAAATATTTATATTAAACGTTAAACCACGCAAGACGAATGTTTGGACAATACAGAGCAGAGACTGTCTTCGTGGTGCAAACAATACACCGAGGCTGTCAACCCATTAGAACAAAACCCACGATCCGTTCATTAAGCAAAATTAATACTTTCTATTGTAGTATTGTGTTTGAACATATTTCAATGTCAACGGGAAAAATTAAATTGGGAGAACTATTTTTCACCACAAAGGTGATATTTGTAGAATTTTGATTGTATTTATTTCTATACCTAAATATAGGAATGTTTAAGAAAAATAAGAATAATTTTTAAAATATGTTTTTTTTTTTTTTTACTTTTACTTTTAAATGAAACAATAACTTATCATCGATTTAAATAACTTGTCACTCGATTTTAAAGAATTAAACATAAGTGTTGTATTACTAAACAATAATTAGTGC